TTTTTTTTTTTTTTTTTTTTTTTAGTTTTTGCTTTTTGAAATAGAGTGTCATTATTACAGGTTGGCCTTGAATTTGAAATCTTCCTGCCTCAGTCTCCTTAGTGCTGGGATTAGACCTGAGCCATCACACTAGGCTATAATGAATACATTCCATGCATAGCCTTCATAGCTCTTCCACACAAAGGACATTTCTGCTTTAATCATATTTCCTAGTATTTCAGAATTATCCACCTACCTCGATATCTTCCTTTGCGGTTCCCACATCCACAGGAGTAGAAACCCATCAGAAATGGAAGTGTGCATCTCAGTCCCACATTCTGGTTTGACTGCTGGCCTCTGTCCTCTCAAAGTTAATCCTGTCAAGCTTTCCCTCTTCCCATATGTTGTCCTTTTGCCAACAAGAAACAAGTATCCAAGATCACAATACAAAAGGCCTCGATGCACTAAAGTAAGGAAGCGATGATTTAAAAAGATTTGTCCATTCATTTCTCCTTATCTTCTTCACCTTGGAGACAGATGGACAATCTTACCTCTTGATCCCCACCAAAGCCTCACCTTAACCCTTGGCCCCTTCCCATTACTCAGCTGATATGGTGGAAGTTTCCAATGTTTCTTGGAATTCAAGGTTACGATATAATAGCCAGAGGAATGAGGAAGAAGTCTGTTCCATGGAACAAAAGGAGCCCTTTTCTCTCACATGCTCCCAGGGTAAGAATGTAGAATGTCATGGAAGATTAACAAGGAGCAACAGGCAGCCATGGTCAAATTCCAGGCCATATGATGTCCAACACTCTGAGCTCTTTGCACAAAAACAACAAGAATCACCAAAGAGACAGGGACACACATACAGACTTCATGAGAGGGAACAGCACAGAGGGAAAATGCTGGAGTGAACTGGGGTTCTCTGGAGCACTGAGAAGGTTGTGATGTTTAACAAATAAGACTTAAGAAATAAATCAGACACACAGGTGGAAATATCACACCATTTCTCTTGTGTGAGAATCCCAAAGGGTGAGTGAGGAACATAATGGAGGCTAGAAATTGGGAAGTCAAGAACATGAGAAGGGGAACAAGGTAGAGGGGAGGGAGAAGGGAATTTTAAAAAAGTAAGATTTAAGCCAAAAGACTTGCCCAAGGTCACTGAACTAATGGTGGCAAACGTGAGTTGTAAACACACTCGATTTCCACTACAAGAAGTTTCCCTCCCACTGTGCAAATGCAAAGCCACTCATCCAAGAATACAGAGCCGGTGCTGGTCACAGCCATCTGCTAGCAGCTGACTGGGGTAAGGACAAGCCCCGGCTCTATTAGGAAGGCGGGACTAGCACCCTCCTCAAGTCCCGAAATGACCTGGAAAGAGCACAACTCCCTGGGAAACAAAGCTATTCTGTGTGTCAACCCACCCCTCCCCTGCCAAGGCCAAGATCCAGCTTTCTGATAGCTTTAACTTCATTACTGGCTCAGAATCCCTGGACGAAGGCCCTGTTTCTAGTTCTCAGGCTTGCTATCTGTCTGCAGAGGCCAGAGTTATTTCCACCACCTCTGCAACTTCCACAGAATTGGGAGTGCTCTCTTGTGACAAGTTAAAATGCCACGTCCAGGCCATCACGAATGAAGCCTATTTAAGCAAATCTTACAAACTGATAGGCCTAAAAGCCACCTTTGAGCTTCTGCAATAAAAAGGATCCAGAGAAATGAAAACAACTGTGATGAGGCCTGGGAGATTTCATAAAACCAAAGGAAGGCAGCCTACAGGAGCCACGAACCGCATCTCTTTTCCTGATTGGGAGGGATATGCTGCTGCCTGTGGTGTTTGCTATTGTGGAGCTCAAATGCAAACCACAAGGTATGGTTCAGCTTTTGCCAGGTAAGCATAATGTTTGTGATGGCATCCACTGAAAAGGACAAAGGACAGTCCTATTGTTTTCTCTAGAAATATTCCCTATAAAACAAACTTTTTCTTTTCTTTTTTTTTTTTTTTTT